ATGATTTGTTTTTTCCAACTCGAAATTCTCCTTTTTCAACTTATATATGATGCCAGGTTCTAACGGTGAAGGGTAATAATTTGGTGGTGTGGTTATAGGTAATTTCGAGTAATTTGAATTGCAGCTATATAAATTCAATAAATTCTTCCATCAAAAAAGTAAACAATATTAAACCCGGCTTCAAGATCAAGCTGTGTAGTGACTATTGGATAATCGGGAAAAGTTTAAATAAGCGCCGTTTAAGCTCACACACAACTAAACAGCAGAATAACAGCTGTATAGAAGCGTAAATGGATATGCAATAAGAGCTTACCAGAACCGTTCCAACAGCCATTCGCCAGATTTGCTTGTATAGAGGTTGAGTAAAGGTTATTTCAAATCGCTTACATTGTGAAGATTGTTAGTTGGGGTTTCCTTGTAGGACGGTTATGCATGTTATTTTTTTTTTCTTTAATTTAAACTAGCGGGTGTTTTTGTGGGTAACTTAACAAAAATGGTTCTGAACTTTGTTCCTGCTATTTTTAGTCCTGAACTGCCCTGAAAAATACTAGGCATTTTACTGAAAACCATAGACATGCACTGAAGCTATTCGAACCTACCCTTTATGATCTTTAAATTCTTGGAACTGCTCTGAAGTTTTCGGAACTTCTTTGGCGTTCTTGGAACTTTTATAAAACACTCAAAACTTCTTAATTGTTCTCAATAATTTTCCTGGTCTCTGTACCAGAACGTTCTCTATTTATTTTTAAAGTTTATAGAACTTTCCAAATGTTTAAGATTACTTTTCTTCTTTGTTCTGCTCAGAAGTGTTCCAAAGTACTCTGGTAATTCCTAAAACTTTTAACTTACCTGAAGCCAGTAACGGAAAAGTTCGCAAAAAATCACTATGACTCGCGAACTTTTCCCTTGAAGCCGTGAAATATCGCGAACTTATTCAACACTGCCTGAAGCTTACTGAAATCCCATGAAGTTCCTGAATAATAAAAAAAGTTACATTCATAGTATTTTTTGTCCACTATTCCACAGCCACAAATTGTATATGAGAAAGTCAAACGCGCACTCTTTTATCTGTGGATTTGAAGTAAAACTTCAAGTCCCCTGATTAATTAATGCATGAGTTAGGTAAAAGAGAGTGTGTTTGACTAGTACTGTCCCAATAATAGCCTTTCGCTCAATTTCCACATCTATTCAATTTTCACAATGCCGTTCTCAAGCGCAACCTATCCTCTTCAGAACTTTCTCTAGCTAAATTATCACAGTAAAGTTCCATGTTGATATTAATTTTTTCATCCAGTTCGTTTATATGGAAGACTCAATCGCGTTAACTTTACGGAGCCGATAATACATAGTTCACTGTTTGTAACAAAATTCACTTAATAATATGTCTAAAGTCTGGAACGCGCAAAAATTGGCCAACTTTAAATTGGTGTAGTTCTGTTAAAAATGCAATAAAAAAAACCTGAAATGCTGCATTTGGAAGTTGAGTGTATATACAATGGTTGCTTGTTTGGACTCAAAACTTACTTTCACAGATCTTTATAACACAATTATTAACAGACCTAACAACATGCTTGGTATTATAAAACGTTTCTGTTATAACTTTCACGATCCGTATACGATAAAAACATTGTACATTTCTTATTTAAGATCGATATTAGAATATTTAAGCATAGTTTGATCTCCTTTTTCAATCACAAACGAAGAAAGAATAGAGTCCGTTCAAAAGCAGTTTCTATTGTATGCACTCCGCAAGTTAGGTTGGACTGTATTTCCTTTGCCATCTTACACAGCTCGGTGTATGCTCATAAATATCCAAATATTGAAAGAGCGTCGGGAATTTGCTATGATTTCATTCGTAAACGATATCGTATCACATCGCATTGATTCAATAGAATTATTGTCATCCTTAAATTTAAATACCCCATCTAGGCATTTACGAAATAGAAATATATTTGCTACAAATCATCATCGTCATCGCCAAATTTGGACCCTTGAACCAAATGATGGACACATATAATAAGCACTGCAATAACATTGACTTTACAATGACGAAAATCAAATTAAAGCAATTCTTTAATTCCTCGCATAACGTCAGCTAGAAGTATTTTTTTCAACTTGTCCTCAAGACATATTATAAATAAATATAATCAAAGATAAAATTGTAAAAATAGCACTTAAGGCATCAACTGAAAAACGGTCAACACTGATTGACGACAAATAAATAAATAAAAATTTGATGTGTTTTCACTGTTTGCTTTCCAGTTTTCAAAATGACGTCCAAGCAAGAGGAGCAGCGTGTCAAAATTTTGCTCGCGCAGCAAGAGAATCCGAAGTTCTCACACGCCAAGTTGGCAAAATTGCTAGATGTGGCCATGAAAACGTTTTAACGAAACTTTTGTGAAGGCGGATTTCAAGCAGCTTCCGGGACAGGAGTTTTATACCGCATCAGGAAAAGGGAAGGTGGCTGAAATTTTCAAAATCATCAAACTATCGAAGTTTCCGAAAAAATATCTGGTCTGCCATATGTACGTGTGGTCTAAAAAGCGGCATTTTCATTACAACGGGAACCACCAATCAAGAGATCTACGTCCAGGTAAAGCAACATATTTAATAGACCTGTGCTGTTCTGGCCGGACTTGGCGAGGTGCCACTATGAGAAAAAGGCAATCGAGTGGTACGATGGGAACCACGTGGTTGTTGTACCCAAAGACCACAACCCTCGCAACAGCCCAGAACTCCGCCCTGTCGAACGGTATTGGGCCTTGGTCAAAAGCAATTTAAAAAACCCGAATTTATTCACCTATGGTGTGATCAGACCCTTCTTACTTATTCAAGTTTATTTATTTTATTGTCATTATCAGTGACCAAGCCCCCCACCCCCGTGTCATCCAGTGACGCTACGCCACTGCCTGGGGGTACCCGGAATATATCCGGGTGTAGTCTATTTGGTGAGGCTACCAATCACCTTATCATCGTATTTAATGTGATTTAATGGGTTTTTATTCAATTCATATTCAAGCAACTTCCCCGGGGTACACGGAACATGTCCAAGTGTATCCAATGTGGTCTGGAACACTTAACACGACTTGCATTGATCTTATTTTTGAATTCTGTAGTAATTTGATGTGTCGCATGATGGTTTTGATACGTTTTCCGTTAAATCCAGCGTGAAGGCCCATATTCACCTATCATTTGGCGCCAAGTTTGTCCAAATCGGTTCAGCGGTTGCTGAGAAACGTGAGTGCATTCATTTCGTTACATACACACACACATACACACATACACACGTACACACACACACAGACATGTTCCGATCTCGTCGAGCTGAGTCGAATGGTATATGATGGTTTTGATACGTTTTCCGTTAAATCCAGCGTGAAGGTCCATATTCACCGGATCTTATTCCGGCCATATCTCCGGAACCGGTTCACCGATTCCAAAACCATTCAATAGCGTTCAATGGGACCCCAAGACCTATCATTTGGCGCCGAGTTTGTCCAAATCGGTTGAGCGGTTGCTGAGAAACGTGAGCGCATTCATTTCGTTACATACACACACACATACACACATACACAGACATGTTCCGATCTCGTCGAGCTGAGTCGAATGGTATAAAAGGGTAAAAAGACTAATGAATCCATGGAAAACGAGCAGCAGTTAAAATCTAACTGGTGTTCGGCGGCGAATAAGGTCGATGAGACCACTGTGCAAAATTTAATGGAAGAGAATAAATGGAAGGCACGGCTGTTTAGATTTGGAAAACCAAAAGAATAAACGAACATTTTTTCCTTTAAATATATGAATTGAACTACCAAATGAAAAATAAGACAATTTTTTGGGGTATGAATTTTGACTGAAAGAAACGATTTTTTTGTCGACCAATTTTTGCGTGTTCCAGTCTTTAGTAGACGTTGGGCCGAATACTCGCGGCTTACCTGAGGTTAGAGGGGTACATTATCGAAGGATAGCATTAGGGGATGAGCATAGGAGTGGGTTTTCGTTGTCTCATCAGAGCGTTGTCGCCAGTATGGTTCTAGATTCGACTGCCATTCGACCGGCTATGGTGGGTGACCAGTGGACGACGATGAGAGTCATCGAGACGGTGGAACAAGACCATATTGATATTAGTATAGCATTTCCAACCAACTCTGAAAACAAAGTTCCTGAAATTCTCTTGAAGTTATTGGAACTGTCCTGAATTATTCTGATCTTCATTGAGATTTTCCTGTAGGAAAGTTTTCCCGTACCCGATGGTGATGTTGCTTTGGATGGGTGATTCTTCAATTTCTAGAAATCATCTGAACTCATTGTTTACTAACGCTGATAGCCCTTATTATAGCTCTATCTAGAATATTCCATCGTTAGCCATAAATCCAAACAGTATGTTGCCATCGCCATGACCCATGCTATGGTTTCATCATGATATGTTTAGATATATCGATTAGTGGCAGTAGGTTAACTCCAGAGCTGGTTCCTGACTATGCAAATATTGTCTTTTCATCAACCATGAATGATTACGAGCACGCACCATTCATTTGACCGCACATCATTCCCCATCAACTCGGATCAGTCTATTGTATAGCAAGGATTCACCTTATCCACCGGAGTAATTCACGAAAAAATCTATACAGTCAGGTTTTACGATTGCTCCCTGTGCTTTTCTTAGCAATCGCCATACCACCCTGCACCCTTTGTAAAGCGTTATCCTGTTGAATAATTAAAAATACCGATGAGAATAACTCACCTGTTGCCGCACTCGCGACCCCCCCAAGCAGTGGTCACGCCACGATCGGCGTCCCGGCATCGTGTCAGTCCTGTTTGAAACGTTCTTCAGTTCAATACCGGATCCCGGTTTCGCGGAATATAGTGTAGTTCGAACCGAGCCCTCGTTCTTTATTTAATTTTCATCATCGATGGGAGGAAATCCTGTCGCGGGCAGTTCATTGCCTACGGACGGAGAAGAATGTTCCCAGCAGGGCGAAGAGAATCGCATTTTTGATATGTACAAAAATGCTACCGTCCTAATCACTGGTGGGACGGGATTTTTGGGGAAAATACTGCTGGAGAAAGTGCTGCGGTGTTTGGAAGTGCGGAAAATTTTTCTGCTCATTCGTAGGAAGGATGAGATGAGTGCCGGCGAACGGCTAGTGAAGCTACTGCAGGATGCGGTGGGTGTTTATTTTTTGTGCGTCAAAAATGAGCGGTTTACATTTTTTATGTCTAAATGAGCGGTTTACGATGTTGGAAATGTGTGGTGTGCTAACAAACGTCACGCGGAAGTTGAATACAGTAATCCTTATTTTACGTTTCTCGGCTGTCCTTCAACCGATAATGCTGATTTATTGTCAGCCTTAAACTAGCTATCTACAAAAAATCAGCTCAATTGGTTGAAGGACAGCTTAGAAATAGTGGTGGGTAGACAGTTCCACCCACCGCATAAATCGAGGGATTGCTGTAGATATTTAATCCAGGTAAAAGCGTTTAGAGTGTGGGCAGGAAGCCGGAAATGATAACGAGGTAGCAGACTAATGTGCATGTATAGATTGTTCAACAGAACGGGATTTGGCTACTTGGAAAGTGGAAAATTAATACGTTAGGTGTGAGTCGAAACACGGCTGTAGAGTTAGGCTCAAATATAAATCGTCCCCTTAATGCTAAAACTAGGTATTATTGAATAGATTCCATATAACGATGGTTGTTGCAACTGCTCATCTAGAATCTGAGTAAATATGAGTAACGGAGTGAACGGTACTAGAACATGTAGAATTTAAGGGATTATCCTCACTTTCGATTCATCCAAAAATGTTGGATTAGTTCGAAGAAGCCTAGTTGAAGGTTTTACGAGGATCTGCTCTTTAGATGCTGAGCAGTTTTATAGTTTAGCCAATATTTTATTATTTTCCAAGTAGTGCAGAAATAAGTATAGTGTATTGAAGAGTGTTAATGCAGTGTAGTTTTCTTGCAAATTGATGAATAAGTCAGTGGAAAAGTGAAATATTAGCTCGGTGTTTCCGTATCACAAAATAGCGTTGGCAAGTGCTAGTTGTACTTTGTTTTGCATTGTAACGCCTACTTCACAACGGACTTTGTCAGGATGGCTGCTGAGCTGGCGGATGCTCTGTGTGTCTTATGTGAGTTATTTTTTAAGCGATTCCAAATGGAAGTTGAACCAGTAAATAGTTGAAAGGAATGATTTTCAGAGAAGTATCAGGGTTTAAAATTTTCATAATCAATAATTCCGGTAATTCTCGCTTCATTTTTATTCATATAAGAAATACACATTCAGTAGTAACGTCTTAACGTAAAATAATTCAAAGTGCTTTCCAAAGCTCTTATTCAAAAAGATTCGGTATCGTAACATCTAAAGCCCTCTAGTAAGGGAACTTCAGAAACGTGTTGTTTTTTGTTTGTGGAAAAGCTTTGACCGCCATGCGAATTTTGTTTTGACCTCACAACTTCTTTTCATCAATGGCCAATAATTTTTAGGATTTTTTTACTATTGCTAGGTATTGGTGGCTGTGTGACGATATGTGATCGAAGCGTTTGTTGTATGAGTGAAAGCAAATACAACAGGGTAACTATTGGTGATGAGCGCCAAGGTTATTATAATGATATGCGCTACCAAGATACATGTAGTAACGAGGGTTGCACCGATGTAGTTCATCATATCCAAGATGCAGGAAATGTTTTGCTTTGCTGTTGTGAGATGTACTCGCGCATAATAGATAGAAACACGATTAATTATGATTTTGAAGATTTCCTGCAAAAAGGTCAAGAGCGATGCGAGTCGATGGGTTTAGATTGCAGAGATAAAAAAAGATTTTTCGTAGGTTGATTGAGATTTTTCGACCATTTAAAATGGAGATTTAGATGTGTCGCACCCCTCGATTTTATCATTGATTTAGCATATGACCAACAATCAATATGAAACTATCGATTTGAAATTGACTCACTACTTGACTAGCCTATTGGTCCCAAGCAAATCGATTAACGTACCTCATTCTAGTCAAAATTCTAGTACTACACAATGTTTGTTTTGATTCGCTATGAAAGTTTAACAGATAAAATGAGGGGTTAGTGGAATTTCCTATGTTTCGAGGGGTGAATCGATTAGCTTGGGACCGAAGATAGTACCAGAGCTGAGCCAAAAAGTAGAGCTCGTTTCTTCGGGACATACAACACTTTCACGTACACTGAACCAAAACATCCGCAATAATTCGAATGATTATTGCATTGCATTCGAATTACGGATGATTTTCTTATGGTTGAATTCGTCGTCAGATGATGAACATCCATATTTCTGTCATCCAAATAAAGGATGATTTTCGTTTAAAAATTAGCTATAAAACATACGGCACTCAGAGGACATTTAAGAATAGTGTGACATGCAAGTGCTTTTAATTAGATTTATAATTTGATTATCTACATTTCCATACTGAATGGCCATAATAAGCCATTCCATTATGGATACAAAATTTTTTCGTGGTGGAGGAAACCTTCTCCACCACGAATTAGCCAAACATTGGTTTTCATCCTTTACATATGTTCGACACAGCTCTGATAGCGATGCATTTGCTTCCACCTCGTTTGTCAGCTCAGATCAGCAAATGACATTCGATAGAATTATTTACATCATCGTTTTGAATGATTTGCGTTATGGGGCTGAACCAATACCATATGCATTTCCATTTAGTATGACAGTCATTCTGCAGAGAGCATTACAAGAACAACATGTGAAAAGGGCATACAAGCTTTTTGTAAACAAACCTTCTTATGCCCTTTTCTCGCCACCCATATGACATCAACGCAAACCATTAACATTAGCGGGTAGGGGAAGCTTTCCGCTTCCCGATGATGTTGTTGGTTTGCGTGGGCGACCCTCGGTTGGCGAGAAAAGGGCATACAAAGGTTTGTTTACAAAAAGCTTGTATGCCCTTTTCACATGTGGCTCTTGATTACGCATTTCAACCGAAGGCCCTATCCCTTCTCATAACAATTTTCATCCTGTTTTCTAGAGGATATTTTGATTTCAAAACAACCGTCATCCGTTGCAGGTATCATTCGAAAAAGCGATTTCGATGATTTGTTTTGAATGGTCTGAGGTTTCATTCGATCAGAGGATGATGTTTGTGTACAGTGTACGACATTTTTATTAGCTAACACAAAGTCAAGAATACGCCCAACTAACATTTTCAGCTTTGTAAGCCAACTTTTCCAGCGTTGTGCTGTAAAGTAGCTAAAAAGAAGCTGCAGATACAGCTACAAGCAAAAGCTAGCAATTTAGTTTTGGAGAGCGTTTACTCAACTTTCTCATAACCATTATTCAATTTGTCAGTCGCACTGAATAACATCAGCCAATAAACGCTAATGTCACTTCTACATACACACTAATCAACTTTCCACTTGTAGCTGCAAAACAAAGTTAACAAAGTGAATATATTACTCATTTGATGGCTTTTACACAACCAACCACTCTAGCTGAATAACATAAACATCAAAAATGCTTTGTCAACAACTAAACAACCTGTACTCAGCTTATAAACTATGTTAAAGCTACTTCGGAAGCATTTTCACAGTCAACTAGGTTTATTTTTAGTCGTGTGCAGTTTTACAGCTTTTACTCTGCTCTTTTATAACTAGTCGAGAAAAGTGATTCATGTGCACTATTATAAAGCCTCTACTCAGTGATTTTGTTGTAGAAGGGAATGTTGATTTGTTTACATAAGTTCAAAGTGTTGGCGTAGCACAGTTGGTGGTGTCAAGGTTTGCCAATGAGGTCGTCTCGAGTTCGATTCCAGGTTCCGGTGCAGGGTAAATAATTTGGTGATGATTTGTAACTAATTTCGATTAAATAGATTCTCAGCAAAATAAACTCAATAAATTCCTTCATAAAAAAGCGTAAACAGTATTTAACCCGGCTTCAAGAGAAAGCTGTGTAGTGATTATTGGACAACCGGGAAAAGGTTGAATAAGCGCCTTTCAAGTTCACACACAACTAAACAGCAAGATAACAGCTGTATAGAAGCGTTAATGGATATGCAATAAGAGCTTACCAGAACCGTTCCAACAGCCATAAGTAGCTGACTAAGTTCGCCAGATTTGCTTGTATAGAGGTTGAATAAAGGTTTCCTCATATCGTATAACGTTTGAATACAGCTTGAGACTGTATAAATGAAATGAGTAAAGCGTTTACATTGTGAAAATTGTTAGTTGGGACGACCATTTTGATTAGGAACTGAATTGATTTCTGTTAAACCATGCAGACTGAACCTATCCAACAAAATTGAACTAGAGAGATAGATTGCTGAACATGTATGACCGGAAGATCATTCAGTGAATCAGACCAAACCAGATTGTAGTCTCCAAACTGAATTGCGATATCCGAAACTTCAAGATTCGAGAGAATTACTCCAATAGAGTTAACGTGATTATTGGTGTCAGCAACATTTGCTCTCCAAAGTAGATCACCCCGATGCTAGCGTTACCGGTGGGAGTTTTAATCTTGATCCACAACTGTTCAAGAGTATCACAGACAGGTATAGGATCTAAGCACGAACTCAAGTGTGAATACACGGCGATAAGAACGCCACCACCCCTGGATTTGGTGCTGTTCACAGGATTGCGATCATTTCGAAAAACAGTGTACAGTTGCGAAAATTGCGTTGACAAAATGCGGTCATCAAGCCATGTCTCAGTGAGGACGATGACATCGTAGCGAGAATCCGAAGCGACAAGGAAGAAGTCATCAATCTTAGTGCGTAAGCCTCTAACGTTCTGGTAGTAGATGTTGAGACAACGTTCATCTGAGTCCAAATTTTCTCCGGCAGGGAGTTGTAGCGTTGGATCACTGCAAACCAGAGGTGTATGAGGGATGGAAATACTGTTGCTGCTTAAGTGCTTGCCTGGAACAGCAGGCCGGAATACCCCTTCTCCGACTCCGTACACAGGTCTGAGACGACTTCGACTGCTCCCATCAACATACGGCGCGACTTAGACGGGTGGAAAAGAGGATGACACCATGATAGAGTCATTAAGCATAATCTCGCAAGCGATTTCATTGGCAATACTCGGTGACGAAGCATTATAGCAACAATCAATACGAAACTAACGATTTTAAATTGGCTCACCACTTCAGTAGCCTATTGGTTGTAACGAGTACCATTTTTCTGAATTCAATTTTCATCAATATTTGTTAGGAACATGAATTTAAAATAAATCTCATAAATAATCACCGCAGTCGTTGAGTGAATTCTATTAGTAGGTAATGAATTCGAGAGTGAAGTAGATACCCACCACTTGGCATAATGAAATTGTAAATGAGTTATAGTTCAGTAGTGAGAGCCGGGGTGGTATTCTTGTCCAATTGCTGCAAGCAGGCGGTAGGTTGCTCGATCGTCGTTTAGCGCGTACGTACATCGACCCGGTACAGATCCTTTGATGATTTGTTAACCTTTCTCGAATTTCTCTCCTATCCCTTAACTTTGAGCCGAGCAGCGAATTGGATGATTGGAGTTGTTTGTTAGAGCAAGATGCCGATAGCGGGGGATGCAATTGATGAGAGCATGAGAACAATTTTCGTTGTATCACGAATATCTAACTTCGTTAGATTTACGTGATTTCCGGTGCCGAAGATTACGATAATGCGTTTAATCTGAGGATCCCCAAGAATCTATCGATCACTTTGGACTGATCAGTGGAAGAGGCAGGAGTGGTCCACCCGTAATCTCGCGCCGTGGTGTGTTTAGTAAGGTAGAAGTGACATGAGGTTCTTTCTAACTAGTGAACTTAAGAATCCTTTCCCATTAGTTCTTTCGATAGGCATTATTCGTTCCGAGCAGTGTGTGAAGCGTGTGTAGAGATTTTGGAGGAAGAAGGTAAAACTGGTGACAATTTCTGGTTTGTGCGATAGAGGCTTAACACGTGCTTGTGCAACGGTTTTTCTTTAGACAGATTCGTGGCGAAGGTTGTGCACGCCCGACACACCACTCATTCAGCTAGTGACCATTTCTGGCCCCACCATCGGTTTCGAAGGTAACCCGGGGTACGCCGGAAGAGGGCCGCGACCGTTAGAAACGCGCCCTAGGCAGGGCGAAACGGCCAAACGGACGACCAAAGCGCGATCAGCGATCGTACCGCGTCACACAAGCCACGTGTCGACGCTAAGTAGCATCGGAAGTTTCTAAACCAACCAACGCGTACATCGGCAGCATTTTCCACCTGTATCCGTGAAGGAAAGACACCGGGTGATTCACCGCCAACCCCTCCGTTCATCCGCCGCATCACCGTCATCTGTATTGCTGCATAAATGGTCCGTGAGTACTGAATGAATCCCTTGTGAAATTTTTCGTCCATGCGCATGTTGACTTGAAACTTGAGAGCCCGCAACCGTAGCACTTTTCCGGTCTCGCGAGGCGTACACATTCTAACCGTTTGCACGTGAACCCAAATGAGAGCCGTTTGAACACGCACAGGAGGATGAAACATACCAGAACATAACCCAACACACACACGCTCGATAGACAGATAGATAAAGAGGGAAAGGTAGAGGCAATTGGGCAGTAGGTAGACAAAGCAAACAAAATGAACAGAACATGAACTTTTGCGCCTGTAAGTAGACTAAACAATAAACATTATGGAATAAAGCTCTCTTTGGTTTTGGATAGGCAAATATGCAATAAAGTCCTGTAATTTCGTTATGCCAAAAAAGGTTGTTAAAGATCTGCCTTGATGAGATAGAAGTGAATCTGTTTGGAAGATTTTCATGTCACCGTTTTTTCCGCTGTAGTTTTTTTTTTCTCTTTTGAGGTTTTTACTGGAGAGGTTGGCTCCGAAACCAACTGGAAAACTTCCAAATCTAACACGGGTTTTCTCAGGGTGAAAGTAGAGTCTTGGCCTGTGATGATAACGACTCGCATTGGGTTAATCTTGGTCCGGGCGGTTTATTGGCAGCATTTTCTCCTCAGTTGCATTTACTTCACTATTTGTGACATACTTTTTCTAATTGAATAGCTCTAGTCAGCCAACTCGCTTTCCGCCCAAAATTTGGGAAAAATAGGAACCTAATCCTGCAAGGTCTCATACGGTCGGGCAACCTCAAAATTGGTAAATGGTCTCCCTCGGGAGTGGCGCTTAAGCCATTTTACTTTCAACGGAAAGCTCGTCAGGCTGACGGGTTACATGGTCCCAAGCAAACGATTAACGTACCCTATTCTAGTCGAAATTCTAGTACTACGCAATGTTTGTTTTGATTCGCTATGAAAGTTTGACAGACAAAATGAGGGGTTATTGGTTTTTCCTATGTTTCGAGGGGTGATTCGACAAGCTTGGGACCGAAGATAGTACCAGAGGTGAGCCAAAAAGTTGAGCACGTTTCTTCGGGACCTACTTGTCTTAGAGTTACCTCTATGATTATAGTGTAATTGACAGATTCCATGATGCGCTAATGGTTATTGTCATAAAGAAGGAGCCCACTTTTCTTACCGCAACTTACCGAAAAAATAGAGTAAGTGTTCCAGTAATAGTGGTAAAGGCTGACTAAAAGTTTGGAACGCCCCTCGCGCGCCGCTAGCACGCCTCCAGTGTTGGAAATCGAAAATCTTTGACAGTGGTTTGTTTACACTTTTATAGAGAACAGCTGGTGCAATTTTGATCAAAGTAGTCATTCGCGTTCAGGAATACCTTCAAATGGAACTTGAAAGAAGAAAAAATATTGTACACAAACACCTGAAAAATCCGAAGTTGTCCGGTTCCAACCTGGCTAAAGACCCGAGTAGCACACTTTCATGACAATAAGTTACAGCAACTTGTTTATGACTGAAATAAGTCGTATCTAAGTTTCTACAATTGATTTGTGACAAGCGTGCTACTAGGGGAGCTGAAGATGCCGAAAACAACAGTTTGTCGAGTGCTCAAAACCTACGAAAAAACTGTAACCAGGGATCGTCAGCTGCGCAGCAAGGTGTTGATGAGCGTCAAAGCCAACCCCGGTCTTTCGATCCGAAATGTGGACAAAAGGTACAACGCCAACTTTCAAACAGTGCGGAACATCCTTGCCAGGGAAGGATACAAGTCGTACAAAGCCAATAAACATCCGAACCGGCACATGAAGCAGAATTCCGTAGACAAAAAGCATGCAAGGGCTGTACTTTGATCGATGACGAAACATACGTCAAACTCGATTTTAAGCAGCTTTCCGGTTAAAAGTTTTACATCGCGATTGGACGTGGGGATGTTCCGGGAAGATTCAAATTAGTGTTTGCCGACAAGTTCGCGAAGAAGGCCATGATTTAGCAAGCGATTTGCAGTTGTGGCCTGAAAATGGAACCATTCGTCACATCTTCAACCATGACATTCCAAGTTTACATCGAAAAAGCGTGTATTGCCGTTCATCCGCAAGCAAACCTAGGAGCAAAGTCATCTTTTGGCCCGATTTGGCCAGCTGCCACTACTCCTAGGTGATTCTGGAGTGGTATTTTGCCAACAAGATCGATTTTTTCCCCAAGCTAATGAATCCTCTGAATTGCCCGGAATTTTTACCATTCGAAAAATACTGGGCTATTTTAAAGCAGTGAATTTGACGAAGCGGCGGGGCAGCCAAGGACATCCTGCAAATGCGATGGAAGAAATGTGCTGATTCCGTGTCCGTTTCCACCGCTCCGAAAAAAATAATTACGTTATGATTTTTCTAAAAACATTGAAATAAGGTATCAAAAATCTAAATAAATCACATTTTTTTCTAATTTTTCAAAGAAAATTCACGTGTAAAAACATTTTTTATAAGTCATTATGGCGTAAAGTTGGACTCAAAAAACCACAGAACATCGACTTTTCGGTTTTGCCGAGAATCCATTTTTTATTTCATAGATAATAGAAAAAAAAATTGCGTGTAATTTTTGACAAAAATCTAAGGAAGAAACAGATTTTTTTTGGATTTTCGATAATTTCTCCCAATATTTTTAGAAAGTAAAAACGTACCGAAAATATTTTTTTTTAAGTTTCAGGCCGGTAAACTTCTCCTAATGTATTTTTTAAACTTATTGAATCATGAATTGCAGGTCTTTTTGTGCGTACCAATTTACTTTAGGTCAGCCTTTAAAAGAGGAAAAACTGAATATGGTGTTGAGTACTTGGGACTTATGAAGTCTGCAAGTATAGTAGACAAAATACGCGTATATGTCAAAATATAAGCAATTATAACGGAATTTAAAGGAAGTAAACCAACCCACTCAAAGCTCTCCATAAAGGGATTTCGTTGAGAGGTTTGACACGTTTAAAGGATGGATATGGTTATTTTTCATTAAAGGCTCTCCTAAAATAAAGCAGATTTGCATTTTTCAAACTTAAAATTAGCCCAAAAATTACGGAAAACAATAGATTTTCCTTATAAACCAATGTCTTCCACTATAATAGTATCCAAAGTTAGCAACTATCACTACTACTGAAACAGTGTTTCTATTAATGGAGGACAAGTTTTCGAAAAATGTATGCAACGATGTAATATTTTTCTAGCAAAATAGAGATGGAAAGCTTTAGTTTGACGTATAAGAATTGTATGTACATCGTTTATCAATTTTTGAATTAATAAATTGTCTTAGTTCCTCCACTACTGGCTTACCCACCCTATTGACTTTGGTACATTTTCACTTAGAATCTAGGTAAAGTTAACTTGATTTGTTTTGATTTGAAATACACTGAAACCTCCAGTTACATCCTAAATAACGAGTTTTTTTTTTGATTCTGTGAAACTGGGTTTGTCAAATACTCCACAAAATGAGTATGTTTGGACCGTAGGGACTGAAAATCCATGTCTCATATTTAAAAGATAATAACAAGCAGAGCCCTCAAATCTCAACCCCAGGCAGTCGATTTCCATGCCAATTAATTACGTTTTCCGCTGGCAGATATTTGAAAAAGTTCGTGGTTGCTACCAGACCGATGAGCAGCTCTACAGCAAAGTGGAAGCCGTTCAAATAGACCTGGACGGGGATGTCCTGCTGTTCGATGGTGGCTCGAGCAGCGAACGCCGGTTGCTACAGGAAACGGACATAATTTTCAACGTTCTGGCGTCGGTCAAATTCAATGAAACCATTCGCAATGCCTTGGCCACAAACGTTGGCGGTACGAGAAAGGTGCTGCAGTTGGCCGGACGCATGGCTCGCGTGCGGTCCATTGTGCACGTTTCCACGCTGTATTCCAACTGCAATCGGGAGGAAATTGAGGAGAAAATCTACGACGACTTGCCACTTCGACAGGAGGTGGTGCTTCAGGTCAGAGCGGAAAATAACCCCCGGAAGTCAGTAAAAAAGGGACTGGTTTCATTGTAATTGCTTTCTGTTCATAGTTTACTTCAACCCTGACGGAGCAAGAGATGGACCGCTTTCAGCACTGTTTTCTCGGACCGATGCCAAACACGTACACGTTCAGCAAAAAGTGTGCCGAAATCATGATACGTGACGATTTTTCCCATCTTCCGATTGGAATATTTCGCCCTCCGATAGGTAGCCGGAGACGGATGTGTTGCCGTTGGCTAATAGACAAGTTGTGATAATAATTGTCTTGTAATATTTGCAGTGATTTCCACCTACCAGGAACCACTTCCGGGCTGGACCGACAATCTAAACGGACCCGCGGGCCTCTGCACGTGGACCGTCAAGGGAATGATCCACACCATCTGGGGTAACGCAGCCAAGCGGGCAAACCTGGTGCCCGTCGATTATTGCGTTAATGCCATCATCGTGGCGGCATACGATATTATGGTGAGGCATGGGAACCGAAAGAGATCCTTGTTGACGGAGCAAGATGACACGGGTAGCGAAAAAAGAAGTATGTCGTCGCCGGCGGAACCGAGCCAGTTGGTAGACAACAGCGAACCGTTTGAATTGCCGACGTACAATTTTATGTACCGAGAGTACGGACTCACATGGGGAAAGTATATGGAGATGGTTTCGCTTGGCTTCGAGAGTCGACTGCACCAGGTGGTATGGTAAGTCTGAACAGCACCAGCCGTCACCGGAATAGGAAATTCTGTGAGATATTTGTTCATCCTCTTTCACAGTTTTATCATTTTATTTTTTATTTGCTTACATTTTCTTCATCTTGTATCATCTCATAACTTACTACGCGTGCTAAAACGGCAACGCTCTGCCGTCCTCCGAAAGTATTGTAACTCTCGCTCGGCTTGTTCTAACTAGTCTGCTAAAATGACATTTTTTTAATTGTTTGCTATCCCTCTATCTTGCATTCATTCCAATTTCATTGCAGGAATTACTCGTACTGCATCACTGCCTACCGTCCAGTATTCCGAGTCCTGTCGTTTTGTTTACACACCATTCCAGCCGTTCTGCTGGATCTGCTCCGTAAAATTCGCCGAAAGAAGCCCTTGTAAGTTTGCAAACAGTTTCATTGCTTTCATTTTGCGCATTTATCTTTCTAGAGTAAAACTTTTGTTGTTCAGTCCAGTTATGTTCATCAAATCAAACCATTTCAAAGCCATTAGCCATTGATGAATTCGGTATTTTGAAGGTTATTGTGGCCACTACTGTTTCTCATCTTAAAGTGTTGTTCGAACAAACTTCATGATTTTTCATTTAGAAGTGCTACGAAAAAGATACGATTTAGGGATCTATTCACACCTGCATTCCTCGGAATGGAATTTTTTTCAGTTTTATCGCCTTTGCATTAACATGAGCGGATTATGTCATGGTGACTTGCAAATGCTACTTAATATACTGTGTGTTTTATGATTTGTTTTCCCCACTCAGTCTCCAAATCAATTACTATTACCATTCTTTCGTTTTATTGCCCGTACAAAAAACCCTCAACCTCGCAAGCTACTGGAAGGCACTCCGAAAGACGACCCACTTTCTGGAGCTGATGTCGTACTTCGGCCTCCGTGAGTGGACCATCGGCAATGGGAACGTGCGTCGACTGAGGGGGCTCCTGTCCAGGGACGAAGCTCGCCTACTGGAGTTCGACATGAAAACCATCAACTGGGTGGAGTACTTTCGAACGTACATTCCTGGCATCCGGCGGTATTGGTTCAAGGAACGGGCGGTTCGCGGCGATCGCTGGAAGTCTGCGGCCAATCGGAGGTAAGTTGATGCAATTGTAATTTTTTAAACATTTCTAGTTGCTTCGTTTTAGCTTTTCTCATTCCATCCGCAGGTTTCACTTCTTGCAACGGCTGCTGCAGAAGCTCCTCTGGATTTGGATTTGCCTGCGCTTCACCCGGGTAACGTCCAAAATTATGCTGAGGAATTTGTTTGCCATCCTGATTGCGTAACGGATCGATATCCCCAATCCCAGCTACAGAGCAACATTACAGGACTGTATAGAACATTTATGGTATTCACTTTTTTTTAAAGAATTTCTGAAAATTATCGTCGTTATAGATATTTCATGTATTCTTGGTAGAATGAAGGTTAAGATTGATTATGTTCTGTGAATGTGAAAGCACTTGTGATTAGTTTTATGAAGACGGCAACAACGATGACATTAAATAAATTACGCAGCAAAATGCGCCATCCTCAAAATGCTTGATAGTAGATTAATCCTTTCCGAAATGAAACAACTCACCAACGCAAACTTTATCCTCTCTAGGACTCATCGAAAAAACCAAAACCCTCTGTGAAAGTTTTCGGCAACCCAAGAGAAAGTTTAATTCCTTCCCTCTAGTTCCCCATCAAGTATCATTGTTCTACGAATGAAAGACGGGTAAAGGCATAGATAAATCCCTCATTTAACAGCTCCACCGAACGTAAAGTACTAGTTGGGTCGTGAAACCAATAGAAGGAGGAATAGTCTTCTGAAAATCTATCTTGGTAGATCATATAGTGCTGCTCTGTAGATTTTGCTGAAAGCTATGGAGAGGATAGAACTTTGTTTGTTACAGTTTTGTAGCTAATAATTACGAACAGATCCGTTCTTCTTTGAAAAGTAGTCACTCCTTTTACCAAACCGAAGTCTCAGGATATAATTGGGCAAAATTCCATTAAACAGTCCCGGCTTAATGCCAAGAAGTAAAAGGTCCCCCCTATATGATAGCCAGATCCGATTTCACTGCTATTTGCGTGGCTCTTTTGAACTTCGTTAAATTCAAATTGTCACTCCAAATTGGCCGTCCGGATTAATGCCGTGTATTGGTTGAAACCTTGGACGGTTTCATACGCTTTCTCAAGCAACACACCAACACTAAACGTCTGTTTAGGGTTTTCTTGAAAGGTCTGCCTAGTGGTCAATCCGTGGATCAGATCAAAGATAAATTGACAAAATTACTTGGAGTTGAGCCAATCCAAGTAATCAAAATGAAAATGAAATACCATCCTGGCGATTCGCACAACGGCTTTTCTAATGATTTTTATTTAGTTCACTTCAAGTCTGTTTGTTGCGACCGCAGCCGCAACGAACCACCATCGGGAAAGTTTCAGTGTAGTAAGCTACGCCGCACCCCTTAAATAGCAACAGACCTTGCAGTACAACTAACACTACTAAACTAATAAAAGTTACCTACCTTAAAATTAATATCTATTGCTACTAAATGTCATGCAGTATTACTTGGCAAAATTGAACGTAGAAGTGGAGTGGTAAGACTTATGGTCATTAACAATAGTAAAAAATAATAATTATGTCTACTTAGATCTACAAAGAAAGCTAAATTACATCTAAAACTTATTTCTACTTAAATCTACAGAGAACTATTCCTAAAGTTAATTCTATTCGATACGCTACGACAGGTAAAACTGATACACATTGTAAAATTGTGAAACATAAAAAAACAACTATGATTAACTATTGCAGCATACATTGCGGTACCATACGCGCTAAACCAGCACTAACTAATTACTTGCAATAGAAACACTAAACGTAAGTACTAGAACACTAAGAAAATTAGAAACTCAAACTATTGCTAAAAATTGGTAAATTATGTAAATACCCCAGGAAATTTCTAACCCTACACCAATCAAATAAAGTGAGGTTAAAAAGTCGGAAACTGTTTCGTTGTCATTGCAACAAATTAGAAATTTCGTTTATGCGATCGGGGAGTGCGGTCAATTTACGGTATGTCAAAACGGTCGAATCGCGGCGAAGATTTCGGTGAAGGTTCTGATTCAGAAGAAGCTCATGGACGAAACGAATCGTCAGTGATATTGTACGATGCCTGTAAAATATGTGGCTCCTCGGAAAACAGTCGGATGGTGTGTTGTGATACCTGTGGAGATTGGTTTCATTTCGAGTGTGTGGGCGTTGATGAGAGCATAGCGAAGGTAGACTGGAACTGCAAGGATTGCGAAGCAAAACGAGTGGCTCGGGGCGCAGCTAGTTCTTCGACGTCGGTGGCACCAGCGAAGAAAAATCCCACATCACTGGACACAATCCCGAAACAGTCAGAGGAGATCCAGGCATTGCAGAAACGGATGTCAAACATGACGGAGCTGATGGGGGAACAGAAGGAATCGTACGAGCGTTTGCTGAAAGTCAGAGAACAGGAACAGAATAGAGTTTTGAAACAGCAGCATTAACATTTCGAGAAACAGCTTAAGGGATTACGCCACCCTAGGATTTTCAAAAAATCGATTTTTTTTTTACATAAAAAGGTACTCTGAAGTGTCAAGAATAAGGGACAATTGGTTAAATGTCGAACAAATTAAAATTCCGAAAGTTATAAGCGAAAGTACAAAACTTTGCATCACGCACCTGAACTTCAACCGCGTTTTTTTTCGATACAACATTTCTCTCCGCGGCCCACGCGATAGCATCTGCAACTTTGACTCAATTTGATCTAGACTTTGACGATTGCATTCTCTGATTAATTATCTAGAGAAGTACATACGAACTTTTCAATTGATCAAAAAATGCAATTGTGGTAAACAATTTTAGAAACAAATTTCGGGCGAAAAACTGATTTTTTGCAAAAACAAGTCCCATTTGCGTAAAATTCAAATTTTTTTCATCTTCGTATGTACTTCTCTAGGTATTCTTATATAAAATAAGAAAAACCACTCGTTTTTGTTCTAGGTTCATATTTACGACGAAGAAAGTGTGGGCCGCGTAACACTACACGGGAAGCAGTGCCAGGAACTCGCAGTGCTGCCAACTGCCACACATGGTTTCCCCTTATGAAAAAAATACTGTAAGCACCCCTAATTATGTGTACTATAAGCCCATATAAGTTAATTTAGTATGTGACTTTATTAAATAACAAAAAAAAAAAATTAATGAAGTTGGTGCATTTTTCTGTATTCTAGGGTGGCGTAACCCCTTAAAGCAATGAAGGAGCAGTTTGCATCTCGGCTACAGATACCGAACGTTAACATCCCACCGAATGCCAATTCGACGAGCATCAGTGGTGCCTATGGCGCAGTTGGAAATCGTCGGAATACTAAGGCAAGTATAGAGTTGCAGTTTTCGTTGTTGGCTGAGAAGCAGGCACTTGAAATGAAGCACATGGAAGAGCGGTTAAAAGTTCTGCAGATGAATAGCGGTGATCCCGATGGACCCGGAGACGGTGCTGCAAGATTGGATCCCAATGTGCCGGAGTTCCTTCCGACGATTGACCCATTGTTTTTCTCGTATTCGTCCCACGATCTGAGCAAAAGTCAGCTTGCTGCGCGTCAAGCAGTAGCAAAGGAGCTTCCCATTTTCACTGGCGCACCAGAGGAGTGGCCATTGTTTATCGCCACCTACGAGAACACCACTCGTATGTGCGGATACAGTGATGAAGAGAACTTACTTCGTTTGCAGCGCAGCCTGAGGGGAAAAGCTCTAGAAGCTGTTCGAAGCCGGCTGTTGTACCCGGTAGGATTGGCAGGAGTAATTCATACATTGCGTACGTTGTTTGGAAGACCGGAGGTGATAATCCATTCGTTGGTGTGTCGGATTCGGAGCATGCCATCGCCGAAAACGGAAAGGCTGACTACGCTCATCGACTTCGGTGTTGCAGTTCAGAACATGTGTGCGACCATCAAGGCCTGCGGACTGGAAGAGCAATTGTGTAATGTGGCGCTACTCCAAGAGTTAGTTGATCGGTTGCCGTCGACGATTAAACTCAATTGGGCAATACATCGACAAACGTTAGCGTCCGTGACACTCTCAGACTACGGAGTATGGTTGGAAAAGCTAGTGGAAGCAGCGTGTGTGGTTACTATACCCTCTAGCGCGCCGGTCAGTACAATGATTATGGAGAAACGTAGCAGAAAAGCAGACGTGAACGTGCATCTAGATTCGGACATGGATTCGTCGTCGAAACCAGTGCAGAAACCGATCAACAAAGGTTGTCTCGTCTGTCATGGAACCTGCAATAGTGCTGCTGCTTGCAAGAGGTTCCAGCATCTCGATGTTAGCGCTCGCTGGGCGGCTCTGAAGCAACACAAGCTGTGCCGCAAGTGTCTCAAGAGGCATTTTGGAGCCTGTGAGGTGAAGAATCCTTGCGGGAGGAACGGGTGCTCGTATATGCATCACGAGCTTCTGCATGATGACTCAAGATATCAAGCAGGAGTTTCACCAGCAACAATACAGGTGAGCGAAGGAGAATCGTCACAGAACTGCAACACGCACGTAAGCCAGACCGGGAAGATCCTTTTTCGATATGTTCCAGTAACAATTCATGGACGTGGCGTGTCCGTTAAGACGTACGCCTTTCTGGACGATGGTTCGTCAGCAACGTTGTTGGAGCATAGCCTGCTTAAAGAGCTAAAGCTGGATGGGAAACCTAACCCTCTCTGTTTGAACTGGACGGCGGAGCAGCATCGGGAAGAGAAGGACTCAGTGAAGCTATCTCTGGAAATTTCAGGAGTTGAAGGAAGAAGTAAGCGATATCGGTCCTGAAGGTGCACACAGTCCGTTGTCTTGCGTTGCCACATCAAACAGTGAAAATTGATGAGCTAGCATCGGAGTATAAGTACCTCGAGGGTCTACCAATCGATTCGTACTGGAACGTCTCTCCAAGAATACTCATCGGAATTGACAACTGTCGGCTGGGGCATGCTTTGAACAGTCATGAAGGACGAGAAGATGAACCCGTAGCTAGTCGAACACGTCTTGGATGGCTAGTTTACGGGCCGTGCTCAACAGCAGTGCGACCGATAAACAAGAGTTATTCGGCATATCATACCTTTCACATTTGTCCATGCAGTGAACAGTGTGATGCAGAGCTGCACAATTCAGTCAAGGACTATTTTTCGTTGCAAAACGTAGGTGTAGTGAGGCCAGAGAAGCCTCTCCTGTCGAAGGATGATGATCGAGCGATCCAGCTATTGAAGTCGCAAACGAGGATGAAGGGAAACC